CTGGAGCTAGGTCGTTCATCAAATTGATTTCCCGACCTAGACAGATCTAACTGGAGCATTCGGTGATATTCGTTCCGTTGAGCGTAAACGGGGCATGCGAAACCAATCCGTTCTTCATAAATATCGTTTTCGTGAGATTTAGTCGAAGACCAATCTTTCCGCAGGCTTTATCAAAGTCGTCAACCGTACGTTCCGCTTGGCTAATGTTTGGTGTTATAAGGACGATGTCCTCAGCAAAACAAAGATGGTGTAACTGCCGACCGTCGATTTTCACTCCCATATTATCCTATTCCAATGTTCGCATAACGTTCTGGAGGGTGGAGGTAAATAATATTGGCGAAATGGCGAGATCGCCTTGCGTATCACCTGTTTTGACGTCAATGTTAATATCGTTGTAGAATGGTGATATCTTGGTTGTGAAGTTTTTGTACAGATCACAAAGAATATTTCTGTACTGAGTGGGGACTCCTTGACTATCGAAAGCTTCCAAGATGGCTTCTATCTCAACTGAATCAAAGGCCTTCTGTAAATCGATGAAAGTGAGACAGAACGGTCTTTTGTACTCCCGCGATACTTCAATGAACCGTATTACCGTGTCTATGTGGTCCATCGCACTAAATCCTCTTCAAAACCCTGCTTGCGCACATGGCTGTTCTTCGTCTAGTGTTCTGTCAAACCTTTTTAGAATGACTCGAGTGAAATGTTTGTGGACGACAAACAGTAAGCAGATTGGGCGACAGTTGCCGATATCGTGTAGGTCACCTTTGTTGAACAATAACACGGTCTTATTGGTCTTCCACTGAGTAGGGGGACCTTGCATTCAGACAGGTAACGTGTGAAGAGCCGAGCCAGTGTGTTTACGAGGACTGGTGGAAGGTTCTTCAGGTGTTCTGGCCTTATCCTGTCCGGACCTGGTGCTGTTCGATTTTTTACCGACGAAATGGCATGTCGGATTTCGGATGTTGAGTGGGCCAGTCTTAATCCTCGCCGATTTTACCGAGATACGGCTTTTTCTCCCTTAACCGAGCTATGAAATTTTACCCGGACGCGATGGTTTGATCCAGTGTAAAATTTAGGAGCAACATGTGAATGTGTGAATGAATGTGATTGAATAAGAATGAATGAGTATGACTAAAAATGAGTTGAGGTGATTGAGGATGATTGAGGATGTGGTTGTGAGGAGCGGATTATCCGCGCTACCGATCGGGGGTAAGGTGAGTGATGGCATGTTTCCGCCGTCGTAGGCACCTGGCTTATATCGGCTGCGGGAGTCGCGAGCGTATGCAACCGCGGTTACTCTGGATTGTTGATCCTGGACCGCAATAGACTGTACCTAACTGCCTGAAGCATCAAACGTCATTAGCTTCGTTGTTTCGCAAGGAAGTAGTAAACTGTTCCACTGTTACGCCTCCCTCGGATAAGCCATCGTCGCTATGCTACTGAAGTCAAACCTGAATCGCTATTGTGCCTGAAACACTGAACATAATTGATCGAGAAGATTACAAAGATATTTGGACTTCAAATACTATTATTTAGATAGATAGAGAACGTTTCAAGAGAGAAGTTCTCTATACGATTTTGGCTACAGTCATCGACTCATTAGAACAACTAGCAACCTGAATTGGACGTCTGCGACTAAAGAGAAGTGGAACAATACAATCAACACAAAATTTGACAATTCTTATCACCTCCTTAAAGTCACCGACATCAAGTTCTGACGAAAAAAAGTCAGAGCGTTCAATTATAGAGAACTTCTCTCTTGAAAAGTTCTCTATCTATCTAAATAACAGTATTTGAAACCCAAATATGGCCACCTCGCAGTCGCACATCAAACACCGCAATGTAACCTTTGTAATCTTCTCGATCAATTATGTTCAGTGTTTCAGGCACAATAGCGATTCAGGTTTGACTTCAGTAGCATAGCGACGATGGCTTATCCGAGGGAGGCGTAACAGTGGAACAGTTTACTACTTCCTTGCGAAACAACGAAGCTAATGACGTTTGATGCTTCAGGCAGTTAGGTACAGTCTATTGCGGTCCAGGATCAACAATCCAGAGTAACCGCGGTTGCATACGCTCGCGACTCCCGCAGCCGATATAAGCCAGGTGCCTACGACGGCGGAAACATGCCATCACTCACCTTACCCCCGATCGGTAGCGCGGATAATCCGCTCCTCACAACCACATCCTCAATCATCCTCAATCACCTCAACTCATCTTTAGTCATACTCATTCATTCTTATTCAATCACATTCATTCACACATTCACATTCATCCTTCACTAATCAGCAGATTATTGTATCTTCTTTCTCAGGTTGTCTATGGTGCGATGTCAGTAGTGGCGGGTGTTGCCAAATGCGTTCTGTGTGCAACGCCATCGGTGGCATGTACCATTTCTCCCATAATGTACACGCAATGTGTACAATGCCGCTAAGCGGCCAACTTATGCTATGTGTTCTGCTAAGCCGCTATAGGCTTATCAGTTTTATACCTATTTATCATACTGGCCCTTGACCCTTAGGCAGTGGTGGCACCCATCGATGCTCAAAGTTCACGTTGCTTCACGTTATTCACGGCCGCCTGACTGTGTTCCGTAGATGACTCATCATTCACTGTCCATAGCACCGTCAACGCTCATGTAACTTACAGTCCTCATCGATCCACTAAAATGTTCCTCATCGCTATAACGTTGAAATCCTAGCTTGGCCGAAACACGGCCAGTCTGTAACCCTCAGCACCTCAGCTTACTGTCTCCCTCTCCGCGGCATACAGTCTCCTCCCTCCTCCCCCAGCATACTGTCTCCCTCAGCCGCCGCACCAGCCGCGGATAGACGCGGTGCGGCATCGCTTACGGATAACCAAAGGCTACTTCATTGGAATCTCATTATTATTGTTAATATTGTATTAATCGTATATTAATGTTTGAATGCCACTGCCTCATTGTTAGCCTCACTTCACTACAGGCCTTAGCACCTCAGAGCTCTAACTTGTCTCATTCCTCTACTATTACTTCTCTACTGTTACTATTATGTAATTAGTGTTGTATTTATGTATTAGGGGTTTAATTACCCAAGTTTGAGGCTGTTAGATCAACTTCAACAACTAAAAGACCCGCTTGGCTAATATTTTACAATGATCTGAACCGCTACACTTCGCCGCTAACCAATTCGTTGCAAATCGTCTTGAAGAGAACACTGAAGCCGTTGAATCTTCTACTGTCACATGTTTCGAGTAACAGCTCACCAGTACCACAGACGGCTTTGAATCGATGGCTTCTTCTCGTCTCAGTCAGTTTTATTACACCGTACCTTATGGTTCTTGTCTGCATGATCAGGCAACGTGACTCTTCTATGGAGGACTCAGATGCAAGTATGCATGCATTGTAGGTGTTGAACGTTACCTGAGCTTTTGCGATCTAGGCAGCCTAAAATGGTCCTGAGATTTTAGCAGCCTTTCCGCACTCGTCCTACTCAACGCTGTAGAATCGCCAGACTCTTTCAGAGTCAGAGAATGAGGCCCGTTTGTTTCACTGTGCTTAGCTTTTTGATACCTACGTATAGCTTGCTGAGCTCTGAACACGGGGGTGGGCATATTGACGGCGAGCTTGCTAGGGTCTCCCAAAGTGGGCGTGGAGCATATTTGTTGGAGGCGACTACTAAACACCTCCCATGTTCTTCTCTTTTACTTGATTGTAGGCTTTTGGCCGAGATAACTCAAAGAACGCAATCCGCATAAACCAGAAAACACCGGCGCACTCAGGCATGACTACGTCTTCGTAAATAGAGATGGTATGTACCAAATCGGCGCAGCAGAAAGATCAGTATATCCCTTGGATCTATTTGCGTCTCAGGGAAACAGCCGGTCGCTTTTGGTCAGAGATTAACCCCTTATGCGACACCTGGAGACGCACCACCGTGCCTCATCACTAACCGGCATGGGACCCTACTATGAGAGGGATCCATAATGTCGTCTATACCACTATTTTCACCTATTTTTTTAAAAGAATAATTTACTTTACTTTATTTATATGATCCGACTTCAAATTCTGTACCGATCCCTTTTAGTTTCTTTCATTCGATTAGCTTTTTCTCACCTGTCACTGTCAAGAAGAGCAGAGATTTGTCTTTGTTCGGTGGTTGCTGCATCATGATCACGTCTTTTTCAATAAGCTCGTTCTTTGCTGGTCAATTGTATGCTACATTCCTGGGTTAGCCGCATTACCGCGTCCCAGCCCTTCACCAAAATAGTGGCAGTCGATTTTTGTGTATCAGAAAGAGGTTTGCATCGTATGATTATGATTCATCCGGAGCGCTAGTGATTTTCATCGTAAAATTTTTTTTTCGAACCATCTTCCACTGATTCGTTAACACAAGGGAAGTAGAAGACTTTGTTGCATCAGGAGTTCGATCCAAGTATTCATTCGTGGTGTATGTAAAATCAAACAATTGTAATTGCTGCGCCCTAACACTACTAGATAAGAAACGATGAACTTGTTAAATAATACAAGTTTTCACTCAAAGTTTATTTTTAGCATAGCTTGACTCTTCTAACAAATCCTCATATTTTCTCACTTCTGTTCTGTTTTAAAGGTTCAAGAGCTCAAATCCCAGTTCTTACTTTTTATTTCAGAGGTTTTCAGCGAAACCTGCTGATTTTCCTTTTTTCGTTAGAGAAAAATAGAGATACTTCGAACCACGTAGATATAACAGTGTATTGTAATTTTATTAAGTAGTAAAATATACAAAGATAATCCTAGAGCGAAGTTTATTTTCTGATTTTAAATGTTCTTAAGGTTGAAGAAGGCGGGGAAACGTTTTCAACTTTATCGAACGACAAAATAGACTTGGTATTTCTTGTGTTAAATTTTTGTTGTTACCGCAGTTATGAAGTTTATGGAAAACTAAGGAAGTAAGACACTTAACCATGTCGGTGAATTACTAGACATTTCATAGCAACAGTGAGCAATAGGAAAGTCAAATACCCGTTTTATGCCGAAAGTATTAGAATTGCTTGCTTTCGTTCTCATAGGTCAAGTAGGCGATTCCATTGTTTGCTATGGCAAACTCAGGATATCTTCTGATATCACAAGTAATGGTCGCTGCTTGAAAGTTCGCTTGGAACCATAGTCGGCTTTTTCCAGTTCCGTGTCGCAACCAGATTGAGATGGCGCCTGACTAAACACTTAAAAAGCCAACGACATGAAGCGAAGCACTAAGAACTCGTAAGATTAATCAATTTGTATGGAAATTACCCCTGATGAGAACTAGACGATCTCTTCTGCTTTTGTTTTCCGCCCGTCAATCTTCGAACTGATTCGGAGGATTAGATGAGTGTGTAAATGAATGTTTTGATGAGGCTGATGTGTGTTACTGTCATTAATAAAATGTTTCAGATGTCGAAAATGAGCCGTGATTTTATTTTCAAAAATTGTTGGCACTGTCTTTTTCTCATGACGTTTTCAATATTTAATGACATTATTGGAAAGATAGGGAACGCGTGTAGCACAATGGTCGGAGGCTCTTTGTAATACACATGGGATCGATCCCAGCGCCCCAGACTCACCAAGCACTCTATCCCTCCGGGATCGCCTAATTGGTACCAGACTTGTCTGCTAAAAACCAAACATGCATTCGATCACCTCCAACGATGCTTAATGAAGTCGAATGCTTGACGCATTCCTCAAGGATGGTTCAACACGGAGAGCTTAATTCATTTTTTTATCCTTATTGAGCAAATTAAAAGTTTTTATCGTGAACGGCGTTCAATGGTGGAACGAGCAAATGAAACACAACTCAGTTGGTACTGTCTTCAAAGACAGCTTCTGTTAACAACTTCAATTCTGTCGCGAAATATCTCTTTATCGCGGTTCCTTACAATATCCTCGAATTTAGCTGTTTATTTTCTGTACCCTTTATAAAATAATTAAGACCAGCAATTGTAATTGGAGTCTTATATGCTATAATAGTGGCCTGACATTTACAAATTCTTCCATGAAGAATTTTCTGAATTGTTTCATAGCCAGAAAGTCACAGGGTTCTAAAGAACTGAATTTTGTGAGTTCGCTCGCAAGCAAAAGTTTCGATAAGAAATCCATTTGCTTTTTCTTCGCCATAAGACTTTCCTCCTCTTGATAGGTAGTGATGTGCATGGGTGAATAAATAGCTACTGTTCTTGAATAAAAACTCCTGGCATGCTGAAACAATACCGAACACTTTAACCTGCTTTTGTTTTGTTTTTCACATTAAAGCTATTTGGATTACCAAATATGGTGGAAATGTAGGAAATGGAATGCAAAACCATATTCAATGAACGGTGTGATACATTTCAATAACAGTAATACGACTGAGTAACTCTCCAATGAAAACTGCTTCTTATGACTGCTACATGACCAAAAGTACTATCCGTATAGTGCGGTGGCGAACGCGTTAGGCCCCGGAAAGGATGATAGTGCGTTCGTTCCTCACTGCAGACACCTGAGGTTCTAGGTTTTGCACATATCTCAGCATCATTGTGGTTGTAAAACTCTTTCTCTTCACCTTCGCTTAAAATTCTTTCTGGTCACCTTCGTTTCGACTGAGAATGATTAAGCTCTTTAGCTCACATTGATGTTTTGGGCAAATTCTGAAGAGATACTTCTGGAAAAGGAACTAATTTTACAGTTTCATGAGAAATTTTTGACTGCACTTTGTCTGTTGTTGATAATGTCTGTTGCTCTTTTCTTTTCTTTCTTCATTATGTGATTGAGTAGAAAAAAAAACTAACAATGTTTATGCATCAAATGTTTCACAGATAAATGAGTGCCGAGCCGATAGAGAGATCATTCGTTGTTGTGAAGATCTGAAAAGTATATTATATGTTTAGCAGTTGAATGACGCAAAAGAAATTTCAATTAGAATAGAATGGCTTCAGATGAAAGACTGCTGAGAGGAAAGGCACTCCCATTCCTGACCGGTCAAGCGTTGTTAAGCCCCGTTGAAGCCATGTATTTCATCCATTATGACGCTCTCTCATCATATTTGTAACTCATTCATACACAAATTATCCTCACAATATGAAGTAACCTCATTGATTAGGAATATTAATAGCTTAGTAAAAAATTTACAGCTGATTTTTTTTTTTGAGTGGAAGCTTTTTAAAATCAAAAATAACTAGGAGGAATGTAGATACTTAGACCCGTTTGGCAAGACATAACATTTGAGAAAAAAATGCAATAAAAAACAAAAAAACCAAATAGAAGGAAAAATTTCGGAAAATGATATTTTACTCTCTATGGTGCGGTTTTTTGCTTTTGTCTAAATGGCTTTTACATGAAAAAATTCGCATGTTCACCTTAAGACGAATAAACAAACAACTGTGCGATGATATCATTTTCTGTACAGGGTTCTGTAGCAAAAATATTGCTAGCGAAATGCTCTCAGAACATAAGAAACGAAATTATAATTTCACTCGTGAACTTGTAACAATTATAACCGTTAAAGGTCAGTTGGTTACACACCTGGCCACATCAACTTGGGTCTTCGGCTCTGAGGAAGACGAAGACGTCGAAACCTTAGCCTAGTAGCGATTATATAACAACCTCATGTAAACCTAATAATCCAAGAAGTTATTAGTCATAACTGCTGTGTTTAATTGACTGTCGATTTGGAAATTATTATTTTGCTATTCGCTATGTGCTATCTAACATAAATACCTACTGCTGCAGTACTGATTTGCCGTTGAAAACAAAATATTATCAACGGATAGTCATTTCCTGCATAGAATAAGACGGCCGGATGAGATTGCCTTGCTTGAGCGGTGTTCCGGTGAAGAAAACCCAACACAATACGATGTTAAGAACCTCACATAAGCCTAACAATCCAAGAAGTTATAACCGTTCAATTTCATTCCTTGGTCTGTGTCGGTCATAATGTTGATTGTCAATGGAACAGCTTCTAGCTTGTTCTCTGATTTATGCACAATTTCGACGAGCATCACATGAGATCACAGTTCTAAAGAATGGTAAGAGAAGCCACTCACATGTATTTATATTATTAAAATAGCTTCGATCGCCCCTGGACGGTTTGTCTACTTTTGTAGAATCTCAGAAGTGGATGCGCTTAAAGAGCAACATTCATTGATATAAAAAGGTGATAAAGAAAAGAGAAAAACGAAAAATTGTCTAAAACAAGACATTGAAATGTGAAGAACTCACTGCTCAGGTAATGACGATAAAATTTCTTCTCAAAATCAAATCCTCCTCTTTCTAAAGATTTGTGAGCTCTCTTGTCAAAGCCGAAACCTTCACCCTCGAGCGAGTTTAGAGCACGTTTGTCAAAACCAAAGCCTTCACCTTCAAGTGAGTTCAACGCTCTCTTTTCGAATCCGAAACCTTCACCATCAAGTGAGTTCAGTGCTCTTTTGTCGAAACCAAATCCTTCGCCTTCTAGCGTATTAAGAGCCCTCTTATCGAAGCCAAATCCGGTACCATCAAGCGCGTTCAACGCTCGCTTCTCGAATCCGAAACCTTCACCCTCTAAAGAGTTCAACGCTCTCTTGTCGAATCCAAGCCCAGCTCCTTCTAATTCGTCCAAAGCTCTCTTCTTTTTGTCAAAACCAAAGCCACGCCCTTCAATGCCATCAAGCGCTCGTTTCCGGCGACCTGAAGAGCTCTAATTTAACTAATCAAAAAAAAACACTTTGTTGTTTTTTGATAAACGTGTGTATGTACCAAATTGATATCTGACAGCACTGTTAATAAAAAGCCCAAACCGCTTTTCCTAAGTTAGTCTTTCTTTGTAATTCATGTCCATCATAATTCTGGCTTACTCAAGATTTTCTTCGGATCATTGAATCCACCTCCGGCAGAGTCTTTCAGGGTTTGGGGCGAATGAATCGCATTTGGCACAGCACACGCAAGCTGTGTGAAGCTGAATATCAACTGAAATATGTTTCTCGATAAACCCTCTTTGGTATTGTAATGAAGCATTCTAGATAAAATTGTAGCAATAAAAAGACACTAAGACTAATGACAATAACAACATAAAAACTCGGTCCAACAGTTAAAATTAAAGTAACCCGTAGGCTCTCCTTAGACTGCTGGGCGATATTGTTTGTGTTTGCAGTATTGAATAAAAACTCACCACAAAATGAGCCAGAGAAAACAGCATGTGGGGTACCCGGTTTCGAGTACTAACTGAAAAGAAAAGCCGGCAGCCTTATTTATGGATAGGTGAACGAGTAATAGTGTTTTTGACGTAATAGTTCACGAAGCCAGTGGTAATTGAAATTCAAGGAAGTGGTGAACACAACTAGTAAGTTAGTTCTTAAATAAATATATGCATATATACATGTATATATATACATATATATTTTATGTGCTGCTACTGCGACACAGCAGCGTTTCATGTAAACGTGATGGAAATAGCAAATAGTTAACGAATGAGGAAGCCATTGAATACGAAAACACTGACAATTTGTAGTGATGATTGATGCTTCGTATGAATTTCATAATATGTTCAAAATGGGGTTAATGCTAAGAACAATGTCAAAGTCAGCGACATCCTAAAGAAACAGCTTCGCTGATTACCGTCATGTTGCTGATGATCTATGAATGAACTTAAGCTCTTATAAGTACAGCAAGTGACCGTAGTTGTAAATGAACGAAATGTTATTGTAAACAGTGTTAGATAGTACCGAATGCGTAGAACGTGACAAAAAAGGTATGAAAAGCTTATGAGATCTCTGTGTCAGTGTTTTAGTACAGGTTCTCAACAATGATCGCCATAAAACCGAAGAAGTCGACCTCGAAGACATCGAACCGTTTGGCTGCAGAAGATGAGAAAACACTGACGCCCATCTGCAGTCGGCTATAATGGCCGAACGCCCCGACCGGTGGAGGCGGGAGTATTATAAGCGACTAAAACCCATCTCGATGCTGAAAATGGATGATTGCTTAAATTTTAATAGGAAATTAGGAACATTGTAAATGGCATAACGGTATAATATAATGTCCCAAGAGGTTAAAGCGAAATGGACCGGTTCGTAAATAGAGCGATGGTTAAAAGTGAAAATTGAAAGCGAAAAAACTCACGGTATGGCTATAAGCACTGAAATGACGCATTTGAGATGCTTTAATGGAAGTGGAAAGTACAGTGTTTTAGTTTATTTTTAAGGCACTATTAACAATAATTGTCTCCTTTGTCCACCATGCAATCCACGTTTACAACATGGTGAGAGTTTCGAAGTAGTAATCAGTGACTCACTTAACTGCTCTCCAGTGATAGTCTTGGTGAAAAACCGAGCAACAGCAATAGCATCAAGGTTAATGAAAACCTTACATAACCTGGAACGAAGCTTGGCATCTTGAATTAGCATTGCTTTGAATTGGATTCTTTTATATAATATAATGAATTAATAATAGACAAGTCATTCATGCGATTCCACAATCGTCATTGGTTCTTTTATGAACTTCTCCATTTCTAGCGTACATCGGAGTTGAGAACACCACGGAGCTGTAGAAGAGATTGTTATGAGTTTCGTCGTGATGTAATGTGACAACTTCTATAATAGACACAAACATGATATATTGATTTAAAGTTGAAAGCGAACACTATTTTACCATCGTACAACTCTTATAGACGTCATGCCGTCAAGTAAATATTAAATGGGAAAATTGCTGGTGATATTAGAAGTTTATCCGTAGTCAGAGGTGTTCTTGGCTGTCCAAGAATGGTGTGTAGCACGTGGGTCATCAGCAGGGTGATCCATTAAGAGAACGAGTTTGAAATTCAAAAAAATGAGAATGAAATGAGAATGAGAATGTTCATCAAAAATTTAACAGAATCCAGATGCATGCCACGTTAGAGTCCGGTTAGCTTTTCGTGGTTAGTTCCTCGACAAACTCAGTACCGAAAAAGAAGTACTACACTAAAATTGAGATAGTATTCGTGTGGTCCAAGCAAATGAACGCAACGATAAGGACATTCACAAATAGAGACTTTACAAGTGGGAACTCTACTCGAACCATAACTGATGAGATTATAAGTGATACAAAACTCATTCGTAGAAACTTTTTTAAAGTCTTAGCGTTAGATTGTTCGGAAAATAATGCAGGTTACTCAAGGTTCATTTCATTTGTATATATAATGGCAAAAATTTTTTTTTGGTTAATGAATTATTATATGTCTACAGAGAGCTACATTTCTGTACAATCGCATTGAATAATTTAGCTGTAAAAGAAATGTGCATTTTTGAAAGTATATAGCATAGAATCTGAAACATCGAAATAGTAATTTCGACAAGTTCACACTTACGAATGCAGACTCCGCGTACGGAAAGCAAACAGCCTAATGAGAAATGGTGTCAAAGAAGTGTTAATGAACACGCAGTGCTACGTTGGCTTGCAAAATTTCGTTTAGGAGGGTTCGACGTTCAGGATGAGGATGGTCGAAGAAATCTTTCTGCTCTTTGCGAGGCTTTCAGGTTTTAATGGATGTAAATACTGGCAAAACTGGTCGAAAACGCACAGAAAAACGTAGCGTAAGCACCACAAGAATTTCAGATCATCTAAGGCAAATTGTAGAATCGAAGAAGCTCGGAAAATGGATTCTATACGAATTGGATGATCCTGCCCCGCGACAATGCACAGCCATGCAGTGCAAAAACCTGCACTGCAAAAGTCGAACGAGCTGGACTGCGGAGCTTGGCACATCTACCTGCACTTCCAACATATCGTCTATGGTATGCCAACACTACAAGAATCTCTGCAACTTTTTTAGACTTCGAAGTCTCTAAAATTGGAGAGGTTTGAAAAAATGAAGTACATGAATCTAACCCTTGTAGGCAAAAAACGACAGATTCTAATCATTCCATTTAGGTTAACAAAGTTTAGTTTGAGGTGAGAAATACCAATTCAAGGAAGAGTTGTCAAAATCCTGAAGTAATTTCCGAACAACGTAATAGAATTTGGGTTTCAACAGACACCACAGTAAGTCTAGCACATCATCTAAGTTCTTTTGGTTAGTCAACACAATTTCATCGTCGTCAACATTTGACACGGAGAGCCACCAAATATACGAAATTAAGCGGATAATTATTATCAGGAGACGGCGTACACAATGAAGGGCATCAAGATGAAGTTGAACTCGGTCAGAGGTACTTATCGTTCAATACGTTCAACGCTAACGAAATGAGATAACACACTGAGTTCTTGAGTTTGTGAAAATCAGTAAATGGCTTCATTGTCATCGAAGTGAAAATGAGTACACCTCTGAATGAATTTAAAACGCATTCATCGCTTTGCCGATTGATTGAGGCTCGAAAACACAAAGTGTAAATTAGCGATGAAATTATGAAGTTAGACGAGACAGAATTTCACTTCGTCTATTGTGATTATAATAGTATAAGTGAACAGAATTTTTGTTCATTCATAACTGGAAACGTAATTGAGAAACAGCTACCCGATTTGCAACTCAAGGTGATTTTTCTCATGTGTAGTCACTTCGTACTCCTCTCAAAGACGGAAAAATTTGGCTAATTTAAGAAATGCGGACCATATGAGAGAAATGTGACGAAATCATTAATGGAAAGAATACTATGTAGAAACTGAGCTGATGTAGTTTCCATCAAGCAATAGGACAATACTTTAAGACAATTTAAATGTGTTTCTTCGCCATTAACATACCGCATTTGATTTATTGAGGTTCCAAAAGGAAGTGAGTGGGATAATCCAATAGTTGGCGCGTTATGTTTAGGAAAGGGCCATCTAAACATCTCAAGACGTTTCTCACAAACTCATGATCGCAGAAATCACTCCTTCCTCTCTTCCTAATGATATTCTTCAGGGATAAGTTTTGCTTGGTTATCATGTATTATAGACACCCAAAAGAGAAACAAATCAATAAAAGGAAGTAAAAATAAGGAGCACGTTTAATTCTACTTTGAGAAAGAACTAGGTAGTCTTATTAGAAGATTGAGAGCGCTGTGTTCTACTGACCGCTCTTAAACATAATTTTGGCAAACGTGCTCGGAAAACCACTCATGATTTCACTTTTTACTGAACCAGACTTACTTCACAAGAAAAAGACCATTCATGATTTCGCTTTTTACTGGACCAGACTTACCTCACAGGAAAAAGAATCCGGTACACCAGCACTCTGAAATGGAGGTGGTTTTGTTCAAACATTATTGTGATTGGAAAACTCAGACACAGATAAATTGTCTGTTGCTGTGATTTGTCGACAACTCTTATCTTGTGAATAGTGCCTCATTGTACGATGAGGCTACGGAAATTACCTGCGAGCGCTAGTTGGCAGCCGACGATGGTGGTGGTCTCAATGGTGCGCTAGTCTTTTATTAGTCATTGAATCAGGTGAATTCCAAGCATTCATACGGTGAGTGGAGTGAAATTCAGCACACACTAACATCAACACGATTACTCAGACATCGATTAGCTCATCTTACGTCTTAGAAGTTAGTTCTTCGCTCGCAAAGTTGCTGGCTAGGTGAGATTGATAACGTTATGCAATCCAAATGAACAATGAACTATCAACACGCTTCGCTGTTTTTCAGACGTTGAGTTTGGTGAACGGTAACAAGACATCCAACCATCATCAATAATTGGGAAATTTATAAGTCACATTTTAGAACAGTCGAATACTTAAAATAATGGGGAACTTAGCAACTGTAACAGATGGGTGTCGTTACGGCTACTAGCAGTGCTCTTTATTTTCAATGAGATTGCGTTTACAACATTATGTAGAGTTTCAGAAATCTTGTTGCACAACCACATAATAAGCGGAATTCAGGCATTCTACTGTCTACTGTTATTCCTCTAGTATAGCTACACCTATTTAGATAAGAAATCACCAGTGTTATCCAAAAGTAGGGACCAAGGACTAAAGGAATCAAATATTCGAGTGTTTATCTGCACTTATTCAATTTAAGCTGAATACCAGAAACGTATTTACCAGCTGAGATGTGAGCGAACAATGCCGGTTTGTGAGCCAAACGGTGTTGAACGAACAAATAACTTGCTATCTGGGAAAAAAGCTCATTGGGAGAGGATTTACTTAAATCATCTAAACGAGTTAATTTTAGCCACAATTTACCTGTTATTATTTCCACGAAATGCACCGCATACTAAAGATTTTAGTGGGCTAGTAGCAGGGATGCGTGGCACTTTCGAAAACGGTGTTTAGACGCAAAATGCAGACCAAAACCAGTCACACTTCTCATTAGAAGTTAGTGGATTTAACAGGCAGGCTTTTGCCTCTGTCGCATCGGATTGGGTTATACCTTTCATATACGCCTACCGAGTAGTTAATTAGGAACAGCAAAAATGGAATTCCTGGAATAAAAAGTGCTGGATTCCTTGAAGCCATCGAAAGAACTTGTCCATAAGGTTATGCTGCAATGTGGCAGGAACAAACGTACATTTTATGGGAACCTCAACAGTTAATAGTTAACTAACGGAAGTGTTGGTTCACATAAGTCACATTTCTATTTCATTTTAGTTTATGAAAGATGAAAGTGAAGTATTATATGGATAAAAACATTCAATACTTAAACAGTTATGTTCTAATAGAAAATGCAATACATATCATCTTACTAAGCTAATTGATGTGAAAATGTAAGTAGAAGCGGACGATATCCTATAATCCATAGTATATGCCACATTTGCAAAAATTTCGCAAGATAAGTTATGAAATCTGCGCATCCGTTCTGTGCATGTACAGAAAAATATTGAAAAAAAGTCACTTAGGGGGGCATAGTACTGTGGTAGTGATGTCCGTTATCACGAGCATGGTCCTAGTTCGATTCCGCACCGGACCATCCAAGCTTCTCATTTTTCCGAGGTCGGAGATTTGCACCGGAATTGTCTGTGCAGTTGGAAACCTTTCAGCGCTGCTATCTCAGGACTCCAGGGAGAATTGCTCTCGACCAGAATTCTATGACATTCAAGATGAAATGAAAATCCTCAATCATCAATCGAAGCCACACGATGCGAGGAAACGAATCGAATCTGAAAAGTGCTGGGATCCGCGCAGTAGACGTGAAGACGGATCATTTTAAATAAAAAAAGCTTCAGTTTATGAAGAAAAACATTGCAGAATACTGTAAATGCTAAACATATCGAAAGGTGTCATCACTAACACACCGTAACATCACAGCACTATTTTAAATTGGCCTAAAATTCTTCACTACCGTTAAATAATCTTTTCAAAGTGAGAACAACTAACGTTTTCGATGTTTTATTCAACAGCGCCCGTATTTATGTCCATTAGTCTCAGGTTATGCGTTCTCTTATTTCCTGGAGATGATTAATAAAGGTTGAGTCATCATAATTCTCTACCAAGTTATTAAAAAGATGAGTT